AAATAATTAGGGTTGGACCGCTATTTTAAAAGGAAAAATGGTAATTCTGACTTAAAAAAGCCGGTCCTTTTAAACCTTTTTATTATTTCTTAAAAAATTATAATATAAAAAAATAAAAGATTAAATATATAAATCAAGGAAATGAATATATTAAATGCATTCATCCATCCCTCATTCATTTATTAAGATTTAGCTGATAATATTAGCTAAGTCTCATTTTTAATTTATTGGTATTAACTTTGATATTAGACCTAAATGTTTAAATTTTATTTATTGTTGTGGTGGTAAATTGATTTAAATTATTTTTTTAAACCTAATTTTATGTATAATAACTTTTTTTATGATTATAAATATATTTTTATAATTTAAATTCAAAAAATTAAAAATAGGGTTGAGGCCCTAAGGGCAGGCTCTTTAACCCTGAGGGCTAGGGTTAAGCCTTGTAAAAAGAAACCCTGTTATATAATCAAGCTTATTAGGACCGACCCATTTAGGCCCTGTCCCTTCAAGGGTCGATCCTAATTGACATCTCTAGTTCAAACCCACAACCTTACACACTTGTGAGCTTTTGTGTCCAACCTTATTACCAGTTGAGTTAAATGAGATCTTTATTCTTTAATTCATAAATTAACTTTATAATATTTAACCGCTCATATATATATATATATCAATAAATATATAATTTAAATATATTTATTTAACATTATTTTTATTTATCAATAAAATAAATATATAATACTTATTTATATTATATTATGTTTTTTAAAAAATTATTTTTGATAGAAAATTTAATATTGAAATGTGCAGATATTTTATTATCACAATATATTATATTATAATTTTTAATATATAATATTTTGTATTTAAAATTATTTCTAAAAATATTTATATTTTTAAATAAAAATAATTAGGTATGTTACTATGTTATCAAAAAATAATTAAATATATAATTTAAATTATTATAAGTATTATTAATATCTAAATAATTTAAAATGATAAATTATAATTATTAAATTATTTATTTATCGCATAATAATAAATTATTAAATAAATTATATATAAATATAGATTATAAATCATATAATAAAATTTAAAACAATTTGTGACAGAATTAGCGATGAAATTATGACTAAAAGGTTTATGAAATGTCACAAAATAAGGATAACGTATCTTAAAAATTAGTGACAGATATTGCCATAAAAAAATTTCATTGCTAAATTATTTCTTATGATTTAGTGATAGAATAGTTACAGAATTTTTAATAATGGAACATTCTATTGCTAAATGCCATCAGTGAAATTATTTCTGACAATTTGGTGATAGAACAGTAACGGAATGTTTTGTTGCTAAATTTTGTCAGTAAATTAGTGATGGATTTGTGATGAATTGGTGATGAAAATTTATTCTGTTGCTAATTTACTATGTTTGTAGTGTGATTTGTAGGGAAGAAGAGAATCTTGAAAGAAGTTGAAAGTGCTAATCTTTGAATTTGAGAACACATGAGGTAAGTAAATTGCATGCCAACTTGTTAGCAGATTCTTTTTTTTTAATATTGATTTAGTATATTCAGGTGTCACCTCTTCCATAATACAATTCTTTTGATTTATCAAGAATAAATGATGTAGTATCTTAATTTATTCTTGCTTAATGGTTTATGATCATAGTTCCATTGTTGACAATTACATATTGAGATGTTTTCATTATATTAGATTTATTGAAAGGATTAGAATTAGTTTTTTTTTAAATGAATGTTCATAAGAATTGCCATTACAAGTGATTTTTTTACCATTTCTCATATTTTTAAATTAAATTAAACTATTAGTTTTGTTTAGGGAGATTTCATCAAGGCAAGTTTTCTTTATTTATATCATATCTATTGATATTTTAAGGTTAATCTAAAACAATGATTGTATTTGGCAAATACTCATGCATGGAACAGATAAAGGCTTTAAGACATCACTTGAGAACTTGTGTCAAGAAAGTCTAATGTTTAGGAATACTCTTGTGAATTTCAATATTTGAAAAATGATATTTTGTTTCGACGATAATTTGATTCCATACATGTTTGAAAAATATTTCAATAAGACTAAATACAAAGCTATGGTTGCTAAGAACAATTTCATTAGCCCTTCGTATACCATGGTTAAATCTTAGCTAGCTTATTATTTATGAGCTTACTACTCACGCTTGTTATTCGTGAGTTTTAATTTGTGCTTGTGCTTGTTTTGTGGCTGTGCTTGATCATTTCACAGCTTTAAGCTATGCTTGTGAGTTATTTACCCTCTTGGACTATATATCTATGCTTGTTAGTCACTTACCTTCATAAGCTATATGTTCATGCTTGTTGGTTATTTGCTCTCATTAATTTTATGTCCACATTTGTCAATTATTTTGATTAAGTCCTATTAAAAAAATTGATTTTTGAAACTTACTTGTTTATTCAAATGATATTTGTTAAATGAGTTGTATTTTTTTCACATACAGATTTTGAAAAGAGTTACATATACTTAATTTTTTAAAACATATATTGTAATATAAAAGTGAAATTCTAATGCTATGTCATCGTTATCTAGATTCATAAAAATATATATATATATATATATATATTTACATAGAATCATGTGGCGTATGAGGTTTGAGTTTCTAACTTGTTTTCAAATAATATTTCTGTTAAATTTGTGATTTAAGTCATCAATACATATTCTCTTTATTTTTTAATTTTAAATTGGGACCTTATTCACTAAATAATATTTTGGCCTCAGATAATAAATTGGGACTTGTATCTCCTATTGATCATTGAGGAGATTTGTTGCTGAATTGAAGTAGAAGAATTTATTTGGACAAATCTCAACTTGATCTAAATGTGAGCTTATGTATTATTTTTATAGTCTGATTCATGCACTTCACATTACCTATAGATAGGATGTTGATCTGTGATTTATATTATATGTCTGTTGTGGAGGAGCAGAGCTCCAAATTGGTTGATTTGGTTCTACAAATGACTCTTGCAGAGACTTTAGAAGGTCCTATTTATAGGAAAGTTTTGCCAAAATTTCTTCAAAAAGTTTGGGATTATTTTGTCTATATGAAAGTGTTGCAATGATCTCTAATGATATTTCAAATGCATCAAGATCTTATATTAGTGTTTTTTTTTATTATCAAGGCTTATGGGATGGATATTTGTGAATGTATCTGATGCCAATCATGTCAAGTTTTTGGGGCATGACACTATCACTCCTTGATTTTAGTGAAATAATTTTGAGTGACTTATAAATAAGACCAGAGAGAGTCCTTTTTTATGTTTGGTAAGACCAATAATAAAAAAAATTATATATAAATGTTATAACTGCCTTAGTTTCTTGCTACACGTAAAATTATTATTATTATTATTATTATTATTATTATTATTATTATTATTATTTTGTTATGGTACCTAGCCGGATGTTCTTGCTCACTATATATATATATATATATATATAATTGAATTGCATACATGAAGGACTATAGAATCTCCAACTATACAATAATTTCACAATTTTTGGTTTCTCTCCCTTGACCCAATTTCTCACTTTAAGTCACATAAAACTGATAGATTGCATTTGTCTCCCCCGTAGGTAGGAAGAAGACCAATTTATATAGGGAGAATGACGATAAAGTCACAAAACAATAAATTTATGATAATTAGGTTTTCGATAAAAAAATTTGTAAAATCAGTTATGAGTTTTATCAGGGACTTCACTCATAAATTCTTTATTTTGGGACTTTATTGTCAATGATCTCCTATTTATATATATATATATATATATATTAACTTTTAGTAGCTACGCCTATCTACTAATTTAATTTTAATCTGGTATATTAGGTTTAATTGTGATTTATATGTAGATAATCATTAAACTTTGAATTATATAATCATAGACATTATCCCATCGTCCACGTTATAGGCCAAAAGACCCTTAGACTTCCGGTGCATTTGATCCTTCTATTTGAAAGAGAAATCTCTTACAATGAAGTATGTTTGTTAGTTTTATTATTTGTGGTTGCTTTTGTCAGATTCGAAGTATCTGATCTGTGAAAAATGGGCAGACCACGTTGGTAGAGATTGAATATGGGGTTTTAGAGTTAAGTCAACTATTGATCAGTGTCTCTATTCTGTCAGGTCCAGGTGACATTGTTCCATTATTTTTAAAAAATGACAAGGCAATATTGAGCCAAAAATATACTTTAAGATATCAATTGTGCTTTTATGCATGGAAGCTTCAAGAAATTTACATTAACTCTAAAAAAAATAAAAGCTCTAGTGCATTTTACCAAAAAAAAAAAAAACTATGCACAACATTGAAAAAGTAGTGGAATTTTATGCAGATGCTACTTTTGTTCCCATTTGCATGCCACATTTAACTATTTCAACTAAATTAAGAATGTTAGTTGAACTCTGTTAAATGTTTTAAAATTACCTCAACTTTCCACAAATACTAATAATCAAATGCAAATTATTGATCATCATTCTGAAATCTTCCCCCATCATTGTTAAGGAATCACCAACCAACAAATAAATAAATTAAAGGGACGGATCTAGAATTATGAAGAAACCTGTGGTTGGAATAGAAAATAAAATTCTAGAATGATGTGGAGAAGAAATGGCCTCAGAATGCTAATCATTGTGTGTCTAGAGTGCAAGAGAGTGAAGTGTGCTGTGTGAGGAAAAGCAAAGGAGTGAGAGTGTGAGAATTGGAGAAAAGTCGTGAGTTTGTGAATCTTGTACTGTGAGTAAATAATAAAAGTTTCTTTTCTATGGAGTCCCTCTCTTTCTCCATTCTCAAATCCCAACAATCATAATCACCCAACAATATATCACACACACACACACCCCAAAGGCCATATAATTAGAAAATAATATTAATTGTTTTAGATATTTGATAGAACGAATTATAAATATGAATAGGAACATGAAAAGCTCTGGAATTATAGAAATGCAAAAACAGAGGCAAGTCATTGATCGACACCAGATAAGATAAGTTAGACCCACTATAATGTGATCACTTTTATTCATGCCTCGAACAGAGGAGGACCACGCACAAACTTTGCAAACATAGGAAGTGGCTTGGACATGTAATCCATATCACCAACAAACTTGACAAGAAAAAATTAAAATAACAGGTCTTAAGTATAAAATGTAGGGAGAATGACATTTAAAGACCCTCTAATAATATTATTTATAGTTAAGAATCCTAAAATTTTAAAATTTCAACATAGAACCATAGTCCTTAACTGGAATCAAAATTTTATTTTCAGCATTCATCTTTCATATTTTCAGCACTCATATTTTAGCATCACTTCCTGTACTTGATTTTTAAACTTTTCAATAGTCATCTTAGATGTTTTCAATGCCCATATTTCTTGTTTTCAGTACTACGAAACACCTATCTTTAATTTTTTTTTTTCAGTACTGAAATCATGGAAAAGTATTGGAGACATCATAGATGACTATTTAAAAAAATGAAAAATTGAGTACTGGAAATGCTAAAGATGACTATTGAAAAAGTAAAAAGATGGGTGCTGAAATATAAAAGATTAGATTGAAAAAATTCAATAAAAAAAATTAATCCCAACTAAAGACCATGATTTTTTTCTAAAACTTTATAATTTTAGGATGCTCAACTATAACTAATGTTGCTGTGACTTGTCACGGCTCAATGGGTATGGGATCCAGAAGGAGTTGGACAACATAATGTTTGAGAGACTCACCGTTGGTGAATCTGTCTTGCTTGTTTTCATAGAAAACCTCAGCCGCTCGAGCCAAATTGACGACACAATCAAGCACAGACTTTGGGACGTTGTGTGGATTATTCAGGCACTCTTCGTTAATATCCTTCCAGCAATTCTTGATGTCATCGTTGAGCATTTTATGAGCCTCTTCTTCTGAAACTCCAAATTGTTTCATGCAACACTCAACTCCTGAAGCAACATGCTTTCTCTCCTGCTCCAACTACACATAAACATGCATTAACCATTAGAGCTTCTCGTATCATTTCTCCCATTTAATATGAATATGATATGTATGCTTTATGACATGCAAGGCAGAAATAGACCCAGCTAGGTTTTGGTTATGTAGAGATTTACTTATACTTATAAAAGAGAGGAAATGGTATTTACTTATATTTATGATAATAATTAATTTTTATACCACAAATTTATGATAATAGTTAATTAATATGATATAAAATGAAATTTCAATTTGTATGTGAGTTTAATTCCTAACTTATAACAATAAATTTTTTGAATAAATTAACAAAATTCATATTATTTATATATTTATATATCAAATGATACATAAAGTATATGTAAATATAATATAAAAATATAAACATGTTGGGTTATAAGCCCAGTGTTAAGTAAATAAGCGTAACTTCTTTGCTTAAATAGAACTAATTATAATAAGCCTGAGCTTAGTTGCACATATTTTGCCCAAATAGATCAATAACTAAGCTAGGCTATAAGTCCCTGATAGACCTTCTAACGTATTTCCACCGTAGTGATCACATGGAATATTCTAAAATATAAGGGTATATAAAAGGAACGGCTGTGGTTTCATTTGTTTCATTATAAACATCAAAATTAATTAGGGTTGATGAATTCATATTTATGCATGGTATCTTAAGTTTTACCTTATGAGTGGCCATGTCATCGAGGAGTCTGCCAATCGTTGACATGGTCCCAATAATTTTGGGATGTGTGGCAAGCCATTCAAACACCTCTTTGGTTGCAAGGTTTCCAAGGCCGAGAAATGAAGATATCAGAAGTGGGCAAGTAGTAGAAACAGCTCCATTATCCTTGTACTCCTCATAGCTTGGAACGCAGTGTTCATGGCACCATTTTGCTTCCATCAAGTACGCATTAGCCGAGTTGATAATCTACAACCAAAATATGTAACTAGGTTAAAATGGAATGGAATATCACGTGTGTGTTTGAAATTACAATAAGTTATAAAGTTTCGCTTATATATACAGCTTGTTTAACATGTGGCATCACAAAAGTTGATGTCCCTTGTTTTGTAGTCACCATCTCCATTTCACTGAACAATTCTACAAACTGCCTCAAACACCACTTTCATGCACTCTGGAAGAGATTTAATGAGACCTATATCCCATCTGGATAATCAGATAAAAAGAGTAATTAAGTAATAAAATTTATGATTAATTTTCAGTGACAGGATTGGTAAATATAATATGTGAATGAACATTTAAACCTGTGGATGGCCTCTGTGAAGGGCTCAAGTTCTTCAAGTTTGCCATAGACATCATAGGTATCATCAAGAACAGCGATAATAGCAACCAGCTTGCCAGCTAACATTCTTGCAATGCTGAATTGAGGCTCATAGGACAGGGATAAAGCCCAAAAGTAGGACTCCACCAACCTATCTCTAGCATAGGGTACCTTCCTCGTAAATTCTGATTCTTTCCACCACCTGTAATACAAATAAATTAATTAAACATGAGTTTTCACTGTTAGGGAGAATCACATTTAAAGACTCTCTAAGAACAAATAAAAACTTTTACTCTTATCTTTAATTTTTCTGTACATAAACTTTTCGAAGATAAATATTGAAAACAATTGACGTGATTACTGAAAAAAAAAAAAACTGATAAGTACTGATAAAAATGCTAAACATTGCTGTTTAAAATATGAAAGATGATGCCGCACCCAATCTAGAATTTCCTTAGAGGGAAAATTGAATAAAAATAATATTTGGGTGTTGCCACCAAAATTTTAAAGGGCAATTTTGGAAACCTCTTAAACAAGTAGTCTACGTATAGGAAAGAGTATGGGAGTCAAATGTATATGAGAAAAGCATTAGACATCCGACAACACTTATTCATATGAATGGTTACTGCAAATTAACTATATAAATTTAAATAACTTTAAAAATATCTTAATTATCCTTAATAAAAAATAAGACAATTAAAAAGAAAATTTTATTTATTTATAAGTTGGATTTGATCTAGGATGAAAATCTAAAGCCTACGTACCTTGTAAAGGAATCAAAGCCCACATAATTTAGGGTAACAATGTGAGTCTCTTGGTTGAGAATTTTTTCTAAGAAAAATATTAATTATCAATGTTTTGTAAAATAATTTTAATGTTGGATTTTATATTTTATTTCTTTATTTGCAACAAAATTTTGAGAAACAATTTTGGGGAAATCTTCTGGTAAGATTTATGAAAATTTCATGCATCCCAAAATATTAGATATTATATTATCTTGAAATGTTCAAATCATAATAATAGATATTATATTTAATTTATATTTTTGTCACGCCCAAAAAATAGACATAACCGGCATAAGATATATGCACAAACACACATCTCTTTAGTCTTGATCAAAAATTTTAATTTAATATCTTAATTTATTTGGAATAAAATTGGAATTGGAAATCATGGTAACATTTTTCATACAAACAAAAGATTATTAAACTTGATGTAGAGATTTTTGCAAAATTTCCTTCGTAAATAGGACCCTCCAAATTTCTACAACAACCATTTACAGACAAATTAATAATACGGAGTTTTGTTCCTCGATAATAGACAGTCGATATAAATTTACAAACTAGAATTACATCTATAGTTAATGTGGAGCACTTAAATTATAGTCTCCAAATAACACACATAATTAAAATAAATATTCACCCAATACAGTAACAAGCCTTTCAATGACCGGCAGGAAGTTCAGTATCAACTAATGAATCTGAGAACAAAATATTTTTTCAATGAATAGAATCCCTAGTAAATAAATAAAATAAAATAATCCAAGAATTATTTAAAATAATTGAAAAGAGAATAATTCTATGTGAAAACAAAACTTGATCTTAAAATCATAATCATAACTATAAAGATGAGAGTAAACTAAAATTATATTATTTTGATTGTATTTAGAAAAATAATTGATCATCTATAAATAGAAGTGGTACACTTGCTAATTGAAACCATTGAAATTTCAAATACACAAGTTGATTAAAACTTTAAAATTTTGAGGACTTAATAGAACAGGTAACAAACGTGGACACACAACCCACGAAGGTAAATAACCCAACACATCTTATGCCACAAAAATAAACATGAACACACAGTTCACGAGAGTAAGTAATCAAATGCAGCCTAAGCTACAAAACAAATGTGGACACACAACCCACGAGAGTAAGTAATCAAATGCAGCTAAAGCCACGAAACAAATGTGGACACATAGTCCACGAAGATAAATAACCAAACGTGACCGAAACCACAAAATCAAATGCAGGTACAATATTCATGAATAACAAACGTGAGAATAAAGCTTACAAAAATCGAACTAACTAATCATTGACTATGGCGTGCCAAGAGCTAACGAAACTGTTGTTAACAACTAGTATTCTGTGTAGAATCTTCTTAGAAATCACATTTCAAACATGCGAGAAAAATAATCATTTCTAAAATAAGATTTTCATTCTCAATGCCAAACTCATATGAATTGCTTCAAATCTCAAAACTTGCCAAAATAATACTTCATAGTTAATGTACAAACTTGCATTAGTTGAGTAAGCAAGAATTTTCAAAGTAAAATAAACAAAGATGCCTTCATCAATTTTGAAAGTATATTTCTTAAGGGAAATACATGCACATATCATAATTTAATTATCCTTCATCATCATTCTATAATTTCCAAAACCAAAATAATTTAATTACAAAGTACTTAATATTCATCATGGTTGTTAAAAAACTGATTTATATAAAAATGTAATATTTTCAAAAACAAACTACTTTTATTGATAGAATAATGGAGGTACTGTTTACTTACCTGAAACATTCCCAAACATATAAGTTACTCCTAATTAGCCACTTTTATAATAATGTCAATGCCTTAATTCCCTACTTCACAAAGTGAAGTCATTGTTATTTCTATTATACATTTTATTTAAAACTTGCAATCCAACCAAATTAGCAAGCTTCCATAATTTTTCAATTCAGAGCATTTTTTTTTTTACCTGGAGGGGTTACGACTCCCTTTTTCTTTTAATAAAACAACTAAAACTATATACTTATATTAACTCCAAAAAAGACTCATTCATTTGATAAAACAAATTCAAACCACACATCATACACTTATTAATTATTTTTCCTTGACTAAACCAAAGAATAAGCCAACAATCTACATTTTTAAATGCATTACAAATTTAGTTCAAGTGATAATAAATTTTCAATCAAGAATCATAACAAGTTTGGTAGGTAAATGATGCCTTTTAGAAGGTTGGATAGATCCCAAGAGCTTATATCTAAATTCTAAACATGCATACTAAAGACTTATTTTACTTTGTTTCCATCTTTCATAAATTTTTTTTTCGAACATTTCATCGAACACCTCGTGTGCATGCAAAAATTTAAGTATATGACAATCATTTTACTCTTTAAATTTCATTCCCAACAACTTTTCAATCATCATTATTTAAATTTACTATGTTTACCAAATTCATTCTTTACCAAAATTATATTTAAATCCAATAATATTAGAATCTAAATCCCTCACAAACCACAGCAAGCAGCCAATAAATAAGGGACTAAAATGCTACACGCACGCACATACTGAGGATAAATTGAGAAGAGTTTCTGCACATACCCACACACCACACTGCGTCGACGGAAAAGAAATGAAAGAGGCAAGCTCACTTCCACACAAGAACAGAGGTGACGCAACAGGGGAAGAAAGGAATCACGAGCTAAACAGCAATCTATAATAGTAAATAGATGACAGCAAGGATAAATAAGAATCAAAACTCCCTCACTTACGCCAAGGCGGCAACAACGTGAAAGAAGGAAGGAGAAAAACAGCAACATGAACAGAAGAGGAGGAGAATCTAGCGACATTGGCCCCCAGCAGCGACACGAACGGAGAAAATTTTGGTGACCTCCATCGGCAACGGATCTCCCTTTCACACACCTCGACGATGAGTGGACAGAAGATCTCTCACTCACCACTCCCTCATGTTTTTGGCGGAAGAGAAGAAGAGTCACGAACCTCTCTCCCTCAGGCCCTGTTTGGTTGGGGGGGAGGGGAGGGGAGGGAAGGGGCTCCTCTCCCCTCCCCTCATTTGGTTAGAAGGAGGGGAGCCCCTCCCCTCCTCTCCCCTCCTTTGGTTAGGAGGATGGGAGTTAAAATTTCCCCTCCCATCCCCTCCGAAGCCTCCCCTCCAAATTGGGGGGAAGCTCCCCCTCCCTTCCCCTTCCTCTCCTCCCCCGCCCCCTCCCTTCCCTCCTCTCCCCTCACCTCCCCTCCCCTCCCCTCGAACCAAACAGACCCCACCCCCAACGAAAGAAAAGAAAATAGGGTGGAATATAATGTCGTGTTTTTTTACGAGGGTTATTTTGGTAATTTCAAAGTGTTTAAAATCAAATAAAATAAAAATTTCCATCAGCCCAGTGATGATTCGAATTTAGGACCACAGGATAGGCAACAAGCATGGTTCCACTGAATCACTAGCTTATGTTTGCATCTATTTCATTTTAAAAAAAATCATCAAAATCTGTTCCTATTAATTATAATATTTAATTATAATTAATATTATAATCATCAATGTTCAGATGCCCCCACCCCCAACGAAGGAAAAGAAAATAGGGTGGAATATAATGTCGTGTTTTTTTATGAAGGTTATTTTGGTAATTTCAAAGTGTTTAAAATCAAATAAAATAAAAATTTCCATCAGCCCAGTGACGATTCGAATTTAGGACCACAGGATAGGCAACAAGCATGGTTCCACTGAATCACTAGCTTATGTTTGCATCTATTTCATTTAAAAAAAAATCATCAAAATCTGTTCCTATTAATTATAATATTTAATTATTTTCAGAATCAACATACAAGTATATGCGTTTTTACCATTACATTATTATCAAAATATTAATAAAAACAAATAATTATTTGATTTAAACTTTTAATTATCTCTCTCTGTTTATGTTGAGTTTGCACTAACTTCTCTTTAATACTGGAATAAAATTGCTTATTATATACTTAAAAAAATTCCTAAATTTTCTTATCATTACAATTTTGATTATTATGTTATTTTGAGATATTCAAATCTTTTTAGCTCATACATTATTACATTATATTGTGATTTGATTTGATTATATTTGTGTTATTTTTCATTATCTTCACTCAAAGACCTTTTAATTTTTTTATTTACTTATTTTCTTGTTATAAACCATTTTCCATTCTCTCTTTTTTATTCATTTTTTATTATTTTATTATAGATGTTATCTTATTTATTTATAAGTGCCCAAATAAAATACAGTGTTTACAGATAAGCACCAAAAAAATTCAATAATATCTTGAAAATTTTTAATTTCAAGTAAAAACCATGATCTATTTCTAAAAATTCATAATTTTAAGATCTTTAACTGTGATTAATATTTTTAGAAGGTCATAAAATATCATTTTTCCTTACATTTATATAATCCTATGGATCATTGTACTAGTTAAGATCACATACTATAGTACATTTCACTTACTTGGTGATATTGCCAAGCTCTTTTCGATGCAGTTTCTGCAGCATATTGAAATCTAGCTTTGCAAAGTTGAGCAACATTATCATCTGATTTTGGGAAGGATCTTGCTGCTGGTAGAAAGACATGTAATGTCTTGCCTCTAGCCTAAGCGATCTCTTGTGCAGAGGCTGACTTAAGCAGTGGCTGACTTGTGCATTGAGAATAGGGCTCAATTGGTTGTTATCAGTGAGGGATTTAAGGTGAGTGTAAGTGAAATGAAGAGCTTCATCAAGTATATTCTCTCCATGAATCTCTAATTGTGCCGCTTCATACAAGGCCAACATTCCTTCGACGTCCTTGGTAAGATTTTGATTAATATTAAACTCTCCTTTGTCGTCCTTGAATCTCTCAAATACATCTGTTCATATACATGCGAATTAGTGAAACTGCTTGGAATTCTATGAAATGAATTAGTGTGAGCTCTTGAAATGAAAGAGAAAAGCTCTTCACAGCTTTCAACTGGTCAAGGGTGTCAAATCAGGTTATCTTACAGTATCGGGTGCAAGTCTTGGGATTGCTAGCTGTGTCAAATAAAAATGCTAAAGGTATCACAAAATGGGGTTCAAATTAATCTAAGCGGATTGTGGTAATAATCCCAGGTTTCCCTAGATAAAGCTCCTCACATTGGATAATGCAAAATAATATATACTGACAATTTAAGCTTGAATAGTGTAACAAATACCAGATGAAATGGGATATCCATGTTGCCTCAGCAATCGAAAGAGTAAAGCAAGAGAGTGAAGATCATCATCTCCATCCTGATGCATGATAAGGATGTTGTTGTTGCTGGCATACATGCTGTGAATCTTTGCCAACGCTTCTTCAATCTCTTGTTCGAAGTGGTAAGAGACTCCAAAACGTTGGACCAAGTCAATGAAGTTTAGCATTTCTGAACGACTCTGACGGTTGGAAGGTATAAACATCTTTAGTTTCTCTTTATGCACTTTATGCTCCACGCTGTCATCAACATCCTGGAAAATAACAAACAAGCGATTATTGTAATTTTCACTTGCAACTATCAGGTTTAAGTTTAACTGATGAACACTCAACGGACAGGTAATTTTCATACATTTTTTTCTAGTAATAGCAAACTTGCTAGATATATTACACTCGATCAATAGGTTTCATATAATGGTGTGTGTACTGTATTAAATACCTCAGATTCTGAAGCATGTTGAAGAAACATATTCCCCCAAATGTCAGGAGCAAAATTGGCACATCTTCTAGTGTTGTCATGGAGAGATGCTGCGACAGACATGGCTCCTATCTTAGAACTGAAATGTCTTTGATAGAAATTAAGAGCCTGATATGTATCGAGTTGATTTATATAGAGGATTTCATTCATTGAAAATACTTTTCTTTGAGGTTAGGTAAGCGATGAGTACTAACAACTTTCATATGTTTTGCACGTAAGTCTAACTATATTCTCATTTCTCTATTTTATGTTTTGCACGTAAGTCAAATTATTACTATTACTTATTTGAAGTTGGAATAATTTATATTTCCTAGTGTTAATATACAATTTGCATCATGAATAAAGGTTTAGGTGCGATTTTATAATAACCCTGATAAAATTTAAAAAACTGTGTGTATGTAAATGATCATTTGCTTTAAGTGTATTTATATTAACTATTGAGATATTTGGGACAATAAAGGAAGCTGATGTAGTGGTACCTGGGTAGATATACTTCCATTTGGTCTCAAGTTTGAATTTGAGCAAGGTCCTAAGGAGTTTTATTTTGTTCCGCCTTTTTGCTTCATGGAATTACAAAATTGCCCTCCTTCCAAACTTGATAAAAGCTTTTATTCCCTTCTTCAGTTATTCCAGACAACTCAAAAGAGAGTAGGTCCAAATTTTGTTTGAATTGGTTGATGTTAAAAGACTTTATTACGGTGAAATTGGAAGAGAATGGCTTAGATATACAACTTAAATATTGGTGCTATGAAATGTTTGTTGAAAGGCTTGTAAGAAGAAATTGAACTTGACTTTTAAATATTTATGAAAATTATTGATTTAGTAATTAACCTGTAGATTTGTAAAGGAATTTGATTATGAGATTATATGTAGTTATTTGAATACTTGGAACTTGTTTGATTATTAATAAAGTAATGCACCTAAGATATTTGGTGCAAAGATTGAGAGAAAATGATGGTTCAAGAAAATGAATTGGCATGATTAAAACAAATTGGAGGAAACTAGTAATATGAATGATAATACATGGACCAACTCTAAAGCATGAATTTTGATTTTGAGAATTTTAAATGATGATGATTGGTTGAGATTGTGTAATAAATTAAAAAATTATTAAAATTATATTTATTCATATCCTTAATTATAGGGTGTGTGGATGAACAAAACCTTGACAAGAATTAAAGGAAGAATATGTTTGGAAATTTAAAACTCCAACGAGTAAGTGAATAGCATCTCACTGAAATATTTATTAATAGTCTTTTACTGAAATATTTTATTTTTAGAAATTATGTAGTAATTATGAGGGATAATTAAATAATGTTATGTGCATTTATTTTTCGTCAAGAAATATATTTCTAATATTAATGAAGGTATCTTTGTTTATTGAACTTCAAAATTTCTTAGTTACACAATTAATGCACAATAGCTCTGAAGTATTAATTTGGCAAGTTTTGATATTTGAAACAATTCATGCGAGTTTGGTATTAAGAATAAAAATTTTATTTCAAAAATAATTATTTATCTCGTATATTTGAATTGTGATTTTTAAGAGGACTTTATACATAATATTAGTTGCTAGTTTGAAATTCGTTAGCCTTGTTCTCACATTTATTGTTTGTAGGTATTGTACCTACGTTTGATTTCATGGCTTCGGGCCGCATTTGGTTAGTATTACTCTCGTAGACTATGTGTGCACGTTTGTTTCATAGCTCAAGTTGTGTTTAATTATTTACCCTCGTGGGTTATGTGTTTGCATTTGTTTCCATGACATAAGCCGCATTTAATCATTTACCCTCGTAAACTGTGTGTCCATGTTTGTTATCTATTTTGTGAAGTCTTCATCATTCTAAATTTGGATCAATTTATATATTTGAAATTTAATGGTTTCAATTATCAATGTGTTATTTTGATTCTCTCTCTCTCTCTCTCTCTCTCTCTCTCTCTCTCTCTCTCTCTCTCTCTCTCAAATCATACCATGGCAGAATGAAGTATTTTAGTTACTCTCATTTTTATAATTATAATCAAGAATTATATATTTATTGAGTACATCATATTGAATTCTCATCTTTTCAACTAATTTACACAATTGGCTAGATATATTGTTTATTATGTTTAGAAAATTTTATTTCTAGAGATGCTATTTACTAAAAAGTTTATTTTGGTCTCAAATTTATTAGTTAACGCTAATTCTACTGCTGATCTTTAAAGGGTAATATAGTTATATTGGGTGAAAATTTTATATGGCATTGTTACCTTTTGATGTAAATGTTTTTAAGACTCATATATTTTAAATTTAGAAGAAAGGTTAGTCGCTTCACATAGATTATTGTTAGGACCTTATTTTGATTTATATACTATTTCTTGGCTGGAAAGATCTAAGCTCCCGACTAATATTATATTATGTAAAAAATTTTGTGTTATAGAATTTTTAGGAGATCCTGTTTATAGGGAAGGTTTTGATGAAATTTCTATAAAAATGTTGAAATTTTGCTATGAAAATTAGTATTAAAAGCGTCAGAATTTCCACATAATTTGCCTATTTATTTCAAACAGAATGAATTTTTATTTTGAGACTTATGAGAATATGTGAAGTGGTTCGTACTTGTGCCAATCACCTTCTATTTTTGGAGCATGATAGATTTGAACCCTATACTAATAAATAATATGTTTTTAAGCCTGAATAATTAAAGTTGATGTATCCTCACCCACTATTAATTTACAACTAATGGTTGTTACTTTTTAAATGGGTCCACATTCTCTCTCTCTTTATTGCATCTCTAGCTCACTCCCCCCTTTCTCTCTCTTCTCTTCTTAGACCATGATTGAAGTAGAAGAGTAGCCTATTTTGATTGAATGGACAATCATTTTTGGGGACAAGTAATCAATTTTAATAAAAATTACTCAAACAGTCAAAAAGTTTGGTAACTGATTATTAAATTAGAATCACGTTTTAAAATAACCTCTAAGAGTTGCTTATATATTCAATTTTACTGTTAAATAATATATTTTACTTTTTAAATAAAATTTAACAAATTTAATAATATTAAATACAACTTTATCAATAATTTAATTTTGAAAAGCAATATCCTTTATAGTAATTTATACAGTCAAAATCAATTTCAAAAAAATAGTATTCAAACAGATTGATTGTAACATAATTAATAATAATTAAAATCAATCATATTAATCAATTAGTTTTATAATCAATTATACTTTAAATTTAATTCAAATAATAAAATTATTTTCCTTAATTACCTTGAAAGAAAACGTTACTCCCTATTTAACTTCTAATTATCAAATTTTAATATTATGATTTACTTATTTGCAATGTCCAATTTTAATGCCATTTTATTTTGTCCAAACGGTAGAGTAATACTAATTTATTTTCTTAATGCGCTGGAAACGTGAGATTTGTCTTCAAGACTATTTATCATATTTGATTACCATTGTAATTCATACGTTCCAGCGTCCGAAACCGTCCCATCAGTGGTTTGTTGTACTAATATTTTATTTCCTTGAATGGTGAGTTAATCATTGTGCATGAATGAGACCTGTGCATGGTATTTTGAGTTCTTTGGCAACTCTCTTTCGCCCTTGGGTTTCCTTTTAAATTATTTCTACTATTATATTATCTTATTTATTTTTACAAGAAGGTTTCACTTAATACTGAAAAGTTTAGACAGTTATGTTAGAATTATTCTTAAGGACAGTATTTTTGAGCATCACTCAAAATAAATTTTATATAGGTACCGCCAACATATATGTTATAATATTATTTGTTTTTCTATTAGTAAAGTATTATCACTTATTGATGGAGAAGTTACAAGAAAAATGATTTTGCCTATACTTTGAAATTCAAAAAAAAAATTATTGAAATGATTTTTTTAACAGGGTGCGATTAAAATAATGTAAAACTTAATCTTAGTGAAAAATTGTATATGATAAATTATAATACAGTAAGCTTCTATAATAATTTCTCCTTAGTGCTTCAATATTCTTCTGACGGCCCTGGGGAATAACCTTAACACTGGGCGTCCTCATAAATGCCAAAGGCCTGGTAGAGCTCATCGTGCTCAACATTGGCAAGGAGAAAAAGGTCAGTTGGCCATTATTTTTTTCTTAATTCCAAACGCTCTCTCCTCAAGGCCACGTGTTCTTTAATGTTTGCATGGCCTACACGTGGCCTTTTAATGTTTGATTCAGACTATAATTATTGCTCATAGTAACGTGTTTGTAAATTTGAGGTGTTAGAGGGGAAAATGCATTGCCCGTAGGAGACTTGATGTTTGACTTGTTATACACGCAAGGTTAATTACACGAGTCTGAGGGAAATTTCAGGAATCTACGGGTTTGGTTTGGCCACGGTGTTTATCACTGACAAACTTTGAATGATCTAAATTTAAATTATTATTATATATTATATTTTTTAAAATAAAAATTTATAAAAATTATAAAATAATTTTAATAAATTTTTTATTTTTAATATGATTCATATTTAATTTGAAGAGTCTAATTTAATATTAAAATTTTATAATTACTATGTATTGACTAATTAGATGTATTCTGTATAGTTCAGATTAATACTAGATTAAATTTTAATTGTGCAGAGTACATCTGAATAGTCAATATATATCAATTATAAAAATTTTAATATTAAATTGAACCACCAGCTTAAATCTAAATCATATTAAAAATAAAAAAATTATTAAAATTATTTTATAATTTTTATAAATTTTTTAAAAAATATAATATATAATAATATTTTAAATTTAAATCATCTAAATCAAAATTTAAATTGTCTAAATTTTATTATAACGATGAGCACCCAAATCGGTCCCAAAATCAATATCATAATTTCTTACAAATCCTCGAGGAACAAGTCCCGAAATACGAAATTTACCATCAGCTACAAGTCTCTCCGACGGTTTGGTTAATAGCGTCATCTTCATTTATATTTTCAAAAGAAGCACTCGTTAGTCGTTTGGATTAACGAAAGGGTGATTAATTATTAGGATTTTGCAAGCAAGTTAAATGAAGCAATTCATTCCTGAAAATTCTTCAGTCGGTGATAGAGAATATATTACTATGTTTGTGAGTAGTGGCGTTAGTTTGAAATTGACGAAAGGATGAGGATACACAGCGCTCTAAATATATTACTCCCTCCATCTTAAATCATAAAATACTTTTTTAAAAATTTTTTTATTTTAAAATATAAAATATTTTAAGTAAATTAAAATTTTATTAATTTATTAATTTTAATATTATTTTTTCTCTCTATAATTAATTTTTATCCTTTTTCTTTTTAATATATTAAATGATGAGTATTTTTAAAAGTTTATATTTTTATTTTTAAAAAATAAAGTTGTTAAGCGTATTTAATAAAGTTTATTGATATGTAAAATTTTATTTAAAAATATCTCATCTCTTGTCAATTGCAAAGTAGAGATAAAATCATCATTCCCAATTTTTCATTTTTGTTTTCAGAATTTCAACTCATCTTTCTTTTTTATTTAAAATTTTTTAAACTATTCAAATAAAAAATCTTAAACATATGAATTTTAAATATGAGATTTGAAATACAATCTAAAATACAAATTCAGATCCACCAAATTTGGATGCTATCTTAAATAGTTGTGGTTGTTGGGAAAAATCTTTACACGTTTTCATTGCATGGTGCCTTCTAAAAGAGGTTCTTTAATATTGCCCCTCTCTTTTCTCTACAAAAATAAAAGTTTGTGTCACACCTCAAAATATAAGGTGTGACTGGCATGAGATATATATACAAAACTCATATTCTATAAATTTTAATTAAAAAAATTTTAAATTTTTAAACAATAAACACATATAATATATAAATAGAATTGTTAGATTTTATTATTATTATTATTATTATTATTATTATTATTATTAATTTTTTTATATTTTTCATACAACCAAAATTCAAAATTTCTTATAAAGAAATTTAGCGGAATGTATAGTAAAAATGCGATTTCTCAAAATTTATCACCAACAAAGAACAACAACAATACAGACAAAGAAATTGCACTCCTTACCAATAATTATTCAATCTTATAATAAAAATGAGGATCTTGCCTATAATCAACGTGGAGAGCTTAGGGTCAAACTATTGATTTAATACAAGGTTCAAGTTACATTAAATAAATTTTGCCAAAGTAATTCTTTCGCTCCATTTGAATGATAAAATGCCACAATGAACATGTTAAAATATAAGTTTAGCCTTTCCTTCTAAGACCAAAAATATTTTTTTAATGAATAACGTCTCAACAATAAACAATTAAACATGAATAAGAGAAAAGTTTGAAATAATTAGGTAAGTTAGAGATAACAATTTTCATAAAATTTAAATAAACTTTGAAATAAAATGGCTCTATATAACTTTAAATAGAATTTTAAAACATTAAAGTATCATATCAAATATTGTTGTCACGTGATTTCAAGAAAACAAATAAATAAAATAAAAAATTATACATAAATTACTAAAAAAAACTAATGAGATGTAAAATCACCAAGTAATTTAATTTATGATTATAGGGACTTATTAAAACTAATGTTTTCAGAACCGAATCGGATATTGAACCAGAGAGGCCAGCGGTTTGCGATTCGCATGGTTGAACCAATGGTCAAATCGGTGACGTAATAATTAAATTTAAAAATTATATATCTATATAATAATATAAACAAAACATCAAATAATTAAAATATCAAGTTAAGTAGTCAACTTCAACTTCAACATATGACAAAATAACAACTAACAAGACAACACAACACAACACACCAACAATTTAAACAAGCATAACATCATATTTATCTATTCATGACTTGTCAAAGATTGGTATATCTTGATTAAGCCAAGCATGATTTTCCCACAAATCATCATCACTATAAGTTTCAACATCTTTTTAGGCAAAAGATCTTAAATCAAGTCCTTCTATGATTGAACATCCACCCCCAGATGGAACCTCATTGCCTCCTCCTTTATTATTACCTTTATTAAATAATGTAACAAATCAAATATTAAAATTAATAAGGAACACATATTATAAGGAAAAAAAATAACATGAATAAATACTAGAAAATACCAAAGATCAAACCTTCATCTTGATTGATAGAAACTTGTGGAATTATTGTATCATCATAAAGCATAGCTTCTTCTATCTCATCATAATTAAGGGTGGGAGAATCTTCATCTTCCATGATCCAATACTCAATGTCACCAATACTTTCATAATTAATAGGATCAAAAGATCTTTTCTTATTATAAACTCTAAAACACATAACCAAAGTATTAAAATTTTACAAGTTAACTTATAATTAAACTCATGTTAAACAAAGTTTAGCTATAATTAAATAATATACCTATTTCTCAAACGAAGGTTATAATGAATAAATACAAGATCATTTAACCTTTTATGCTTCAACCTATTCCTTTTTTTAGAGTGTATTCTTTCAAAAACACTCCAATTTCTTTCACAACCAGATGAAGATGAAGTTTGGCTCAAGAGTTTCATTGCTAATTTTTTAACATTTGGTGCACTATCACCAAACATTTTCCACCATTCATCTACAAAATTTAGCATCAAAGATAAACATAAGTAAGAACTATAAAAACTAAAAAGTATTAAAGTTAAATGAAAAAAGCATTAAAATTTACTTGGCCGCAATGAGTTTATAGATGAACTGGCCAAGGAACGACCGAAGCTATCAACTCTATCTTGATACAACAAACTTTCTTGCACAAACTTAGTTTTGTTAGAAGTGATTGTCTTATCCAAAACATCAAGAAATCCAGCCATAACCTCTGGCTTTTTACAAAAGCTCTACTTATCATAAAAGAACACAGGATTTAGGAAATAAGCTGCTATATGAAGCTTCTGACGAAGTTAAGAATCCCACCTTTTCTTGATAATCCTTGTGTAAGGCTTATACAAGGGCTTTTTATTCATTAATATATTTTTGATAGTTTTTCTTGCCCTGTACATGCCATCATATACATACCCAAGTAAAGGCCTCTCATCAGCATCAACAATCCTCAACAACGAATAAGTGGTGAAACAATTTGGACCACAATTTTACAATCATTCCAAAATTGATTGTCTAGCACTATTAAAGTCACATCCTTTGCCTTTTCTCCTTTTGAGTATCTAGAATCTAAAAATACTTTGCTAGTTACCAAGGCTTACAAATCATGTTTATGCTCATGAATACTTTTCAATGCAATAAAAGTGGTAGCAAATTGTGTCACCCCAGGGTGAATAATTTTAGTTCAACCTTCTCTTTTTCTCAGCCAAGCAAGCAAAAAGGCATAATTATAAACAAACTTTGTCACCATAGATGCACGTGTTGCCAAGCCAATCACAACATCCATTTTACCAATATCTCCTAAAATCAAGTTCAAACAATGTGCAGCATAAGGAGACCAAAAAATAGAAGGAAATTTGTCACATAATAACCGCCCAGCAGCTTTATAATTAGCTGCCTTATCAATTACCAAGTGCACAACATTTGTAACTCCAACAAAGTCAACCATTTTAGTGAACAAGTTGCACAAATTTTAGACAGCCTTGACTATGTCTGATGCATCAACAGATTCAATAGGAGCCTTTCTTTTTCCAAGTTGAGTTTGACTTTGTGGTTGAATTTCCTTGAGGGTTTGAAATTGAGGAGCAAAAATTTCTTCTGAATTTCCAGCATGACTTTCTAATGGTGTGACATTAGGGCCATATGGGTTGTCCCCTTCATAACTATCTTACTTTTTGCCTTTATTCTCCCTAATCTCCTTTAAATTTTCTTCGAGTCAGTAGCGAACATCAGCAGGCACTTTTTGCAACTTATTGCATCCCCTTTCTTTCCAGTAAGATGTTGTTTCATTCTATGAATCCCTCCACTAGCAAATTCTTTTACACAGTACAAACATTTTAGGCGAACTTTGCCATCTGGGAGCTTGACCTTAGCACAATGCTTCCGTGTAGGATCTGTCTTTGATCTAATAAATTGTGTTGATGCAGTAGTTGAAGTATTTTCAGATGTCATTTTCTATAAGGCAAAATTTAGATTTGTCATTAAGAGACCTAATCAATATATAAAGTATAAACAAAGAAGAGTAAACAAATCAGATCAAGCATTCCATTCCAGTGGTCAGTCTCGAATTGGCTATCAATTATCAATTAATTGATGCATTGTCAATGAATGCTTGTAGGCAGCTTATAATCCATTACACAATCATTATATGCAGGCATATATAGCATTTAATCAAATTAGGTCTTCAATAGATAAGGAATTTGAACTTCTAAGGAATTGAAAATTTGAAATACATAAAAATTAAAACTTACGTAGACCTTTAGACGATGAAGCAGAGCCAGACTAGGAAGAGGATAGCTCGGTGAGGATAAGGAAGAGGAGGAAAAGATTAGTCATGGAATGTGGTTGCTCTTGTTGATGCCAATCGATAGGGGAAGATGAAGGAAATCGCGCCCCGTACTGCCAAAGTCACAAATGAAGGAAATCAGTGAAGTCACAGCTCTGGCAAAAAAAAAATTAGTGAAGTCACAGTAGTAGAAGAGGTAGAAATGGAAGCTGCAAGACAAAATCAAAGCTCAAAGAGACAAAGACAAAGCAGAAAACTGAAAACAAAAAGCCACCGCCGTATTGCTAAAGTCACAGAGAATAGGAGGAGAAGAGCAAAATCTGAAGCTTGAAATCATAGTAGGAAGCTTGAAATTGAAGCTTAAAGAAAAAGTGTGATGCTTGGAAATGGAATCGGAGAATTGCAACTCAAAGAGACAAGGCAGAATCTGAAACCATGAAATGAAACACTAAAACTCTGAAAGTCTGAAATAGGAAGCCAACTCAGATGCGTCGAACCGTGACTTTGTAGCTCACAAAGACAAGGCAGAGATTTGAAACCGTGAAAGGTGAAAGTGAAACACTGAAAGTTTAGACAGGAAGCCAGAAAAGCAGCGTCGAACCGTGACTTCGTAGCTCAAAGAGATGAGAGATCTGAAATTGTGAATGGCCCTGCGAGCTAAGAGCTGAGTGTGTGCCTCTATGTGCAGTTTGCTTTTTCTTTTAGGGTTAAAATCTAAATTTTAAAATATATAGGGCCAAAAGAAAAGAACCATCCGGCTTTTAAAAACCGAACTCAGTTCCTGACTCAACTCCGGTTTGCAGCCCAACTGATAGTTTTGGCCGGCTCAACGTCTCACATGGTTTTTCCCTTCTGGTTGAGCCGAAATGTGTACCGGTCGACAGTCAGATCGGTTCGACCGTTTGGTCTGGTTTGATTTTAAAATCATTGATTAAAACCATTAACAAATGTGGACACACAATCCATGAGGGTAAATAACCAAACACAGCTCTTGCCATAAAGACAAACGTGGACACACAGTCCATGAGAGTAAGTAACCAAACGCAAGTCCTTTTTAAATCCATTTTCAAACATGCGAGAAAATCATTACTTGCAAAATATAATTTCTCTTCTCAATATTAAACTCGCATAAACCATGTAAAACATCAATCTTTCTAAATATAAAAATTTATAATTAATATTTCATAAATTGTTCACTAATTTTCATAGTTGGCTGTATCAAATAACATACAACTAAAATTCGTAAAAGTATCCGTCAATCCAAAAAGCATAAGTCATGACTCTAAGAAGTAAAACAATTTAATTACCAAAAGGAGGTAATGCAAAAGAAATATATAATATCTATAAATTGTTAAAACAATATTTTGATAAAGAAAATTTTTTAATATATAAATTGATTGGGATATTATCTATTTACCTGAAATTCTCAAAATGTAAAATTTCCCTCTAAACTTTGATTGCATTTTTCTTTTTTCCAATACCCTAAAAATCATGTGAAGATTTTAAATAAACTTTCAATAAGCTCAATAATTTCCTTCCAATAGTACTACTATCAAAATTTTGCTATAATTATTTGAAATTTTAAAATTGGGGCTCTACACATAAAAATTCATTAAAGCCATAACTCAATGTTCGATTAAAATACAATCTCATATTGAACTTTTTGTCAAAATGCTAAAAGTACATTATTTTTAAAAAACTCAACTGATTACATAATATCTTTACAATTAAATTTCTACAACTAATGCCAAGCTCAATTGACAAGGTAATAGTCATCAAATTGGTTATATCTTTCAAGGATTGAATGAGATTTTAATGAATTTAATTTCATGCTAAATTATTCTAATGGATATTTTATCAAACACCTTATAAGCATCAATCCTCAAATAAATACAAACATCTTCCCCTTCAATTTCACTTTCCAAAATTTCATAATATTAATATGGCGATCAATAATTAAATCAAATTCAATTAGGACTCAAACCATATCAATATTATCTTATCCTTAATACTAAAAGGTATAGCTAAGCTCAATTCACAAGATGATAGAACAGAGAAGGAGTAAGGAGGACAAGAGACTGACCATGTGAAGCTAAAAGAAGGAGGAACTGTTGCACAAAAAGCAACAAGGAAGAACAATGGCCGGCGATGTAGATAATCAGAGGACGAATAAGCTGAACTAACAAAGGTGAGCGATTTGCAGCGCGAAACAGGGGAAAACTCACAGTCGAATCTTCAACAAACTTATTGTGGCAGCAAACTCGCGGTGAACTCACGATGAATGCCAACAACTGAATCAGAATGGAAAAGGCGAGTAGGAGATGAAGGTTGATTGAAGGTTCTCTCTACCTAGGTTCTGGAGCATTCGACGATGGAGGAGAAGAAAATGTCGGTTAAGAAGAAAGAGAAATGCCACGCTCTGTTTTTACGCACCGAGGAGAGCAATAAAAATCTGAACATGAAGATAATGGGGGAAACTACAAGAAAGAGCACCAAAAAAAAAAAAGACACAATAAAAATTACAAAAAAAGACACAATTTTTCTATAATTTAAAACAAAATAAAATCAAACATTTTTTTAAACTCTGGACCTAAAAAAAATTACTGGTATAAGTTTCAATAAATTACCACTCTTCACTGGCTATAGAATTAAAATAATTAAATAAAATGTCAATTGAAAAAAAAAATTTATTTAATTTTAAATTTATGATCATTACAGTGTGATCTTGGTTGTTGCCTTTCAAATGGGGATTGAGATAAGTTAAAATGAAGCAGCATTTTTTAAACGGTGAAATTTTTGCTTCACCAAGTTAGTTAATTTTTTTTTTTGGTAAACATCAAGTTACTTAATTGCTTTTGCTTCGCAAAACGGTGTGCCCCATTTGAATGTTAATTTGTCAAAGACTCTTCCGCAGAATTTAATTCACACACACACACACACACACACACACACACACACACACACAAAAGAAAAAACAATTGCATTCACAATTTGAAAAAATCAATTAATTATAATAATTATATATAAAAATAAAAAAATAACTAAAATATTATCATATTTAATTAAAATAAGGTTGCATTAATTTTTTCTCACAAATGGAAAATTATGAGTTTGTGAGGAATGATTTAAAAAAATTATAATAAATACTTATTGAAAATGGAAAAAAAATTGTTGGGTGAGTTTAGATCTTTTCACTACCCGTATTTCTTATTTCCAGTACTATATATAGCACTTACCTTTAATTCTTTTTAGTACTGAAACCATGGAAAATAATTATTGAAAACATTAGAGATGACTATTGAAAAAAAATTAAAAATTGAGCATTGAAAATGTGATGACAATTGAAAATGTAAAAAAATGAGTACTAAAATATAAAAGATTAGATTGAAAAACTTCAATAAAAGAAATTAATCCCAACTAAAGACCATGATTTAATTTTTTCTAAACTTTTATAATTAATCCAATTTCAATATTTTAATAAAATAAAATAACATAAAATTATAGTATATTATATATAGATTTATTTATATTGATATAAGAGAGGAAATGATATTTACTTATTTTTATGATTTATGATAATAACTATTATTATTTTGCCACAAATTTATGATATTAGTCTATTCATATAACATAAAATGAATTTTTCTTTATTTAATTCGTAAGTTTAATGTCTAACTTATAACAATAAAAATATAGAATAAATTAACAAAATTCATATTATTTATATATTTATTGTAATAGCCTAGAAATTTTGGTTTTAAACAATAAAAAATAATAATTATTATATGAATAAAAATAATTATATGAATAAATAATAATAATAATAATAATAATAATAATAATAGATAGATAGTGAAATAAAATAAAATATATGCTAAGTCATGTTGAGGGTATTTTTATTAATTTTAGAATAACTTTAATAAGAAAGTACGAGGGCCTAGTGGAAATAGTGTCAACCACCTAGCTATTATGTGATGAGTTCAAAGCTTGTTGGTGCATGTGGGAGAGTTTTATTTTTTATTTTACTTAAACCTTAGAAATTACCTTTCTGCATTAGTCTATTCTTTTTTTCTCTCTTCCTTTCTCTTCTTTGAAGCTAGCATGCATCAAAGTCGATGGAGAGAGAGCTAGAAGCTTCAAACCCTTGCTCTAGTTGTCTCCGTCTTCTGCCCTCATCACTATCGTTCATCCTGTCACTAGTGATCTCAAAAATGCTGGAATCTCCATTGTGCATGGTGCGCTAGTCTACTTCGTCCGGCTCTTCCTTGTTTTGCATCATTCTCTCTTCTCCATCATTTGGGTAAACATTATTGTGATGTGGTTACATCAAGTTCCCTTTCCCCTGTACAGCTCATGAAAACCTTCTCCTTCCTTTATGTGTTAATCATGAATTGAGGGTGTTTAGAAGAAGGGAAGCTTGATTGGAGTTGTAAGAAGTGAGCTTTGAGGCTTCAGGGTACTATAGACAAAGAAAGAAATAGTTTATGATTGAGTATTTTCAATTCTTTTAACATATTAATAATGTTTAAGGGTTGAAGGTTGACTTGTCATTATGATTTATACATGGAAGAACACTAGTGAATTCATTGATGATGAGCATGAAAATAAAGGTTAAAAGAAATAAATATGTTGATTTTATGAACTTATGTACACTAAATTTAAAATGTGGGATTATATAAGAATGTTGGTTGTTAACGGCAAATCCACTAGCCCTTGGCGCGCCATAGTACACCCGACTAGTATGGTGCTTATTGAGAGTGTTAGCCCCGTGTGAAGGCCAACACGCGTGGAATGAAGGAATGAGAATTCATGAATATTGTACTCACGCTTGTTTTTGTAAGCCTCATGCTTGCACTTGTTTTGTGACTTCCTATCACGCTTGTTTCGTGGCCTTCTGCCACGCTTGATTATTTATCCTCGTAAACTGTGTGTCCATGCTTGTTGGTCATTTACCTGTAATAACCCAATCATTTAAGTAAAATTAAAAATACATATATAAATAAGTTTGCATTTTAATATTAGTTATATTAATTTTGATCAAGATTATAAAAAAGAAGAGTTGGTTTAGTGGTAGTTGAGCTAGACTTCCATCAAATAGGTCCAAGGTTTGAACCCTCTCAGTGCAAGAAAAAGATTTTATTTTGCTATTTGTTTCATTAAAATTACCATTTTGCGCCCATCAATTTTTTTCTAAATAGAGAGCATCAAATCTGCAAAAGGAGGTGCCTTCATTTTTCTTCATTCCTCTTCTTCATCATTCAATAATTCCAGACCAAGAGTACGTGCTCATCCTTCATCTGGTTTCTCCATCCTCTCTCCCTCGTGACCGACCACTGTGGTTTGCGTAAGGAGTTCTTGGTTCCCCATTTCATCTCTGTTCTCCATATTTCTTGATAGGTGCTGTCGAACCCTCTTCCTCCTCCTCCACTCATTCTGTTCGAAAATCATTAGCACGTGAGGAGCTAGTCTAAGATTTGTGGAAGTCTGATTCTTGAGCTAGAGGTTGGGTTATAATTGTCACTACTAGAAAAATGCCAATTAGCAAGGGAATTTAGTAAGGGATCATTTGTTCCTCTCTAAAATACCAAATTAGCAAGAAAATTAGCGAGAGATATTGATTTCATAGCGTAACTTAAAATTATTGAGGAAAATAGCGAGGGATTGTTAGTTCCTCTCTAAAATAAGACAACTAGCGAGGAAATTTTGCTCATCCCTTTCTAAAATAAGAGAATTAGCGAGAAAAATAGTGAAGGACTACCAATCTCTCTCTAAAATAAGATAATTAGTGAGGGATTTAGCGAAGGATTCTATCCCTAGCTAATTGCTGCAAAAAAAATTAATTTTTGGCAATGACTTTTGATTATATATTTAATTATTTTTATTTTTTAAAATTAAATTTAAAAATTAACTAAAATATTCATAATAAGATTATTTAATATTTTATTTATTTTAAGTTAATTTTCATTAATAAAATGATATTTTATTAAAAATATAATATAAAAAATAATCTAAATAAAATATAAATACTTTTAACATGTTAATAATTGAAAATAAAATTAATATGTATGTATGTGTGTATTTTTATAATATATTATTTGATATATTTATGTGGTTAAATAATATATATTTAATTTCTTATATAACACTGCACGTGTCTTCTAGTTCAACTGGCGAAGAAGGAGAGCATAAGGCTTGAAATATATGAGGTCAAGGGTTCAAGTCTTGACTTTGGCATAAGTTGACATGGTGCAAGGTGGACAATGACATGTTATGAGTTGTCATACATGTGGCAGGTGATGAGGCACAAGATGGTAGATGGGAGGTGATATGGTAGTTAATGAGATACGAGGTTGTTGGTGACATGGCGCAAGTTGATGCACACATGGTGGGCGATGTGGCATCACTATTTTTAGAAATAGATATATTTAGCGAGAGATTAGAGAGGGACTAATCTCTTGATAAAGTTATCGAATTTTGAATAGTATTAGTGAGGATTTAGCGAGGGATTTGAATTTTGAATAATATTAGTTAGGGATTAAATCCCTCGCTAAATCCCTTACTAATTAGCGAGGAAAACATGATCTCTCACTAAATTTAGCGAGTCCTTTTTTAGCTACGAATTTAATAAGGGACAAAATCCCTCGCTAAAATACAATTTAGCTAGGAAAAATCCCTCGCTAAATTTCATTTTTCTAGTAGCATGTCTTCTTCTCCCCTATTCTATTGCCCCTTTTCTATTCCTTCATTTTCATGTTGTGGATGATCTAAGGTGAGGTAATTTGTTCCTTTACTTCTCTATTGTTGCACGAGCAATTGTGGGTTGAGACTATGAAATGTTCCCTTCCTTTCTTTACTGTCGTGAGTAATATGGAGGATGAGGATTTTCAACATAGATTGATAGATTTATTGATTAATGGAACATTAAAAGCTGATTAATTGCATGTCTATGTTGAAAATTTTTGGGAAATGGAATTGGATAAGAAGAAGCTTGGTTATAGTTGAGGTTTAAATGCTCACAAAGTGTTTGTTAGAATGTTTAAGAGAGAGTTTTGTTATATAATGGCTTGATTATGGATATATATGATGATTATATTGCTAATTAAATAAATTATCATTGGAAGACAATTATCTTTTGTGGAATTTGGGAAGGTTGATTGATTCAAATATCTATTTTGTAAAATTTTTGAAAGTTGGAATTAGGGAGGGAAATGTTTGATTTGAGTTTAAGAATTAATGTGTGATAGGTGTTTGACAAAAATGTCTATTAAAAGGAGTTTTATTTAATTATGTAATTTATGAATTCTATCAATTCTTATGATGATGCATTTGGTATGGGCTCCATTTAAGTCAACTTAGCCTTGTGGAGAATTTTAGTTATGCAATTATTGGGTGGTTAACTGAATTTTGGATATGGTGCTGTTGATGATTTATAAATTATGGTGTTGACTCATTTTAGGGTGCACTTAAAGTGTTTGAT